TCCATGTTGCCAGAGTCTGAACCTCCTTGATGTTCCTTGTAGGCAGCTCCTGTAGGCACTGACTCTTCCTTGTTCCATTTGTCATACAAATGTTCAAACAGCACATTATATTTCAAATGTATAATTCTAAATGTTTCAAATATACATTTCTAAATGTTTCAAGTACGTATTTCTAAATGTTAGTTCAGTTTTGCATCTTTTCTCAGTTTACAAAGTACTTACCTTCAAAATATTTTATGCTCATATTTAACAAACATTAATAGCTGCAATTTATGTATTTTACCAATAGTTTAGTATTCAAGTCCTTTTCCCCAAATCCATGGGGTTATATAGTTGAATCCTGTTTCCCCAAATCCACGGGATCATCTCTCCCAAATCATGTTGGGGTCACCATTTGTGGTCATTATATTGCAGGTGTTTCTATTGCCATTATATTGCAAGGGTTCCATGTTGCCAGAGTCTGAACCTCCTTGATGTTCCTTGTAGGCAGCTCCTATAGGCACTGACTCTTCCTTGTTCCATTTGTCATACAAATGTTCAAACAGCACATTATATTTCAAATATATACTTCTAAATATTTCAAATATATACTTCTAAATGTTTCAAATATATATTTCTGAATGTTTCAAATATATATTTCTAAACGTTAGTTCAGTTTTGCAGCTTTTCAGTTTAGAAAGTACTTATCTTCAAAATCATTTATGCACATATTTAACAAACATTAATAGCTGCAATTTATATATTTTACCAATAGTTTAGTATTCAAGTCCTTTTCCCCAAATCCATGGGGTTATATAGTTGAATCCTGTTTCCCCAAATCCACGGGATCATCTCTCCCAAATCATGTTGGGGTCATCATTTTCTATCATTATATTGCAGGAGTTTCTATTGCCATTAAATTGCAAGGGTTCCATGTTGCCAGAGTCTGAACCTCCTTGATGTTCCTTGTAGGCTGCTCCTCTAGGCACTGGCTGTTCCTTGTTCCATTTGTCATAACAATGTTCAAACAGCACATTATATTTCAAATATATACTTCTAAATGTTTCAAATATATATTTCTGAATGTTTCAAATATATATTTCTAAACGTTAGTTCAGTTTTGCAGCTTTTCTCAGTTTACAAAATACTTACCTTCAAAATCTTTTATGCTTACATTTAACAAACATCAATAGCTGCAATTTATATATTTTACCAATAGTTTAGTATT